TTCCGGCTCGTTAAGCCGTCAGTTCCAGACACCAACAGTCGAAGTTTACGTTTGGTTTTCGAGAAAAATACGACGTGCTCGTGTAATATGTTTGCCAGCGTTTATGTAAGTCCCGGAGTGCGTCAAAAGGTTAATGCCCAAGCACGGAGGCGTCAGGCGCTTATCGTCGAAACGATTGCGAGAAAGTCCTTTCGGTTTTCAGGTTCATTTCCGCGATTTTCTGGACGAGATACTGAGATATGTTTTCAAATATTTAGCTTGACTGAATCAGTCTCGAGTATTTCGCTGAAATTTCGCAAGACCTGCCACCGGCGATATTACCTCGCAGCAGGATACCTTGAAAGTTTCACAACGAGGAATAAGTTCGCCCCAGCTAAGCCGAATCGTATATGTATACGACAGCGATTATCCTGATATTCCGGAGAGAGATTTTCAATTCGTGTTTAGATTCCATATCCCGAACCGATATTCGCATCAAGTGGGGCATAAAGTGACGTAAACGTATTACAAGAATATTGTTGAAAGTATGTTGACTATATTTATAGCGGTGCTACGCGATGTTATCTGCGGATGTTACGTTCTTACCTGAAATTAACAATAAGCAGATCGATTCTATCGTGACCGCAGTAAATGATTATTACCGAGTTTCCCGATATAGTTTGCTTTGACTCAATTATAGCTCTAAATATCGATCGATACTGAATTTGGAGTAGAGAGCATCTCACACCAAAATCAGATGGAAAATCACCTTTCTATTTATAACTTCCTGTTACAAAGAAGAAACTTGATAAAGATGATTTTCTCTTTAAGATCATGCATAATATCTTTGGCTCGAATGCACATCGATAAGAACGCGTATTCACATGTAATATGTCCTTGTCTCTTATTATATCCAACCATTATATCCAATAAGAAATGTCAAAGGTAAATTCCTTACTTAAACCTTAGAAATCCCTCGTCCTCAGTCTTAGAAAAAATATTGAAAGAGATATTCTTACATGGCAATAGTTCCAATTTCGGTTTTAAATAACAAATGTATCACTAAGATTTCACACAATTTTATCATAACTTTCAATAATAAATAATTAGCATTTTAGAAGAACATCATACTTATATCGTTTGTAAAATAATTAAAATCTTATGTTAAACTATACTGTTATTACTCTGTGATGATGCTGCGCTTCGCTATGGCTGTTACTGATTAAAAATTGCGACGCTTCGATGCTCTCGGCAGAGGTTTGAAGGCCTGCTCTCGAAACGGAAATTCTGGATGCTCATGGGCACAAAGATTGGACAACTATCGCGACCGTACGAGGGTAGTCACGCCCCGGATAAAAGGGAGCGACCAATAGGACGACTCCAGGTAGAGGGTCGTGCACGAAATTAAAATATCCTTCCTATGTAATGACGCTACAGATACGCCGCTAAGGACGCACGTGAGTCCGCAGGACGAGAACTATATGCTGCGAGTCCGAATCATTCCCTTTGCAATGGGAAGGGTGGTTCTCGACCCCTAGTTGAAGGGTTCCGCGGGCATCCCCTTGGAATCGCGGATCCCGCGGACATATGCTGAGGCAAGGGGGAGAGAAGCGTTATTGTATTATTCACGACTCTCGGCCCCGTAAGATAACGTTACCGTGATTTTTAATAGGCGGACGGCAAGGATGTGAGAGTGCGGGGGGTGTGCCCCTTCGTGTATGCCTCGATAATGGGATTAGTCGTGTTGTTAGGGGGTTTAAAATCACGGCTATGTTTTCTCAACTTTACCGGCGCGCGCTAAATAATACGGTATATTATCTGCCAATATCAAAACGTTCAATCCTTAGATTAGAGATTATCACGATCCAATGTAAATTTTCATTGACGATAATAGGTAAGGATAACATGTATATAGATAATTCTAATAAAAACTAATTAAACTAATAAAATATTAAGTGTTTTACAGCTAATGCAAAACTTGAAACTACCTTTTAAAGAACACTTCTTTTCATTTAACTGAAAAGTTTATTATCGATTAATGCATGAGATTTATTAATATTTTTACGGCACAATTGCACAAGTCAAATAATTTCATAACTATCAATATTTAAATATCGCAGCCACTATTATTTCTTTCTCTTCTAGGGTATTTACTAAAATGTATTATCATTGTATCATATTGCCCCAATTTTGTCCCAATCACGAAGCGATCATCAGGTCGCGTTTCCCTCGACATAACGAATGCGTCGTCGCGCGCAATTAATTTTCGGGTTCATCGACAGGTGCAGCCGGCATGGAGTCGTTCGCACAAGAATACACTCGCGCAATGACGAGGCCGAAACTCGGATCGTGAAAGTGGATATTCGAAACGGCGTTTCATGTTAAACACTAATTTTCCGCTTTGTGAGCGCATCACACAGTCTCGTCTATTGCGCGACTCGCTCGATAAATTACAGGAACGGCTAATCAAGAAATTAGTCGTGTGTATGGAAGTCAAACGGCATTACCGAAACGTTATTGCCTCTCTTTCCGTTGATAGACTATACCGCAGTGGCAATTTTCGGAGGGAATCTTAATACCAATACGTTACGCGCGAATGCAATGTTTATACTTAAAATTCAAATGCAATATATCCTATATGAATAATGATTAGGTTTTCATTTACGTCAATAAAAAACCGATAAATAACTGATAACTTTTATAAACTATTGTAACATTGTGCAAGTGCAAATTTTTTAATACATTTTACTTGCATTTACAACTTATTATTTATATATAAATCATTGTTTTGGTTCACTTAAGAATTTAAATTCCTTTCGTAATTTGATTAAAATATATTAGATATTGCAATAAATAAATAATTTCTAAAAAAGATTCAATAAAATATACTGAATTCTCTGCAGGTGGATAAAACGTTTTCTCTGACGATCCTCGGTATTTGTCATTCAACATTCGGACCATCGAGCTATCCGACGAATTCCGTAGTTCTCTCTCGCTATTTTTCTCTCATTATTCCCGCAACCCGCAACAGTGATTTTTACTCCAACTGCAGGATTTTATCAACGTAATACACTCGAAAATGCAAATTCTCGTAAAAGGAAGAAGAAAGAACCAAGCAAAAAGTAAGACCAGCGGAGTCTTAGTTTCTAAGGCAGATCCGAGATTTGATTTAAGCTTCCCTGCTGAATATCGACCGCGGCGGGAAACGAATTTATGTTTCGCCCCTTCGGAAAAATACCGACGGAAAGCGCAGCTTCGTCTGTCGCTCGTCACACCGGCATAATCTCATTCCTAATGAAACTGATTCTATTAACTATTCCTATGAAACTATCCACTTACGTAATAGACGGCAATAATGTCGAAATTTGTTTCTCCGCGGATCCACCCGGAAATTTTGCGACTCGTGAATCGAATGTTTAAAAAGGAAATCGAGGTATATCACAATTTCTTTATTCGTATGTGCATTTATTTTAAACGTGCGTTCGCATAATTTCTAAACATACGTTACTTAAATCGTTTATATAAATTTCAAACCATTCATTAAAATTCTTTAAAAGTCATATATCCGAGTGAACTATAAATATATGAAGATTATGCAAAGAGGACAAAATAAGCAAAATAAAATTAGAGATACACGTGGTTAGATACATTCTCTTATTCTGCTTCTAAAATATTTCATATGCATTGGCAGCTAAAGGCCAGATTAGATCATTATATTATCACGTCGAATTTTAATTTATTTCTCGAGATCCATTGTAGCGTCATTTGCCTAATTTCGCACGGATGAAGATTACTAATGACGCTTTTCACAAACCAGAGTAGATACTAGTGTCTTTAGCCCCGACTCTTCTTACTAGCTTATCTTGATTACCCGTGCAGATTCGTCAGCACGTTCGAAGGAAACCTATTTGATAAAGGTTGACGAGAAGAAAAGATAGAAAGGAACACGGAGGGACGTCTCCACTTGTACGTGAAGAAAAATCGAAGGAATGGATGAAAAGATTCTTTTTCTTTCTCACTGCTCACCTCGAAACTGGACCATATAAATTTAAATCATCGTATAGACAACGGAGATTGTATCAACATTGAAACGTACACTATGATATATAATGAGATTCATTAATAAATAATAGTATTTCCAAATGATAATTTGCACGATAAAATATGTATTTTACGTAACGTTGGATTTTTATAAACATGAACTCGATTATCTTCATTCCCTTATGATAACTCGAGATTTTTAAAGTTGATTTCAGAATTTTTTAAAGCTTTTTATAAACTTATCGAAAAAGAAGGAAAAAATCTAATATCTATATTAACTCATTTCCATCGATTTAAATTATACTTTGAGTTCATCGGTCGTACTCCGGAATAACAACGGGTAGGGTACAGCGGGGTTGGAGAACGTCGATAATAATAGAAAGATGGGTAAAGAGGCCGTATAAAATTTCCGGCGATATTAGCCACCCGTCGAATTAGCGCTGCGAGAAAATGCCCTACTCACTGTCGTTCCCCGGGGAGGGCAGTTGGGGTGAATCCCGAATGGGGCACCCTCGCGGAGAAAAAGGGCGGGGCCCCGTATGAAGGGGCCCCAGATCAAAAACCAACCCCTGGGTGGAGTTTGCACCCCGTATATATATAACAAGTCGGGGGTCCTGGAAATACAGAATTCGATGTACCTTCGTGCAGTTAGGATCTGCGAGTCTACATTCGGCTCGATTCCGTCTTATAATTGAAAACATTAAAAGATCTCGGTATCGCGAGAGAAAAAGTGGAGAAAACTGATCATTTTTCAAAGAGAAACCATTGGAAAGATTTAAGAACAAAGTGATTTTAAAGTATCGTTCTTCGGAAGAAGGATTTCGTCCCGTTAAACTCAAAGCGGGGATTAAACAGAAGTTAAGTGCGAGATCTCAATGATCGTTGGATTACTTTGTGTCGCGTGTGAACTCCACGGCTTAAAGTTGGACACAACTTGAGCAGCTGTGTTAATCTTCCGAAGATTTTTTAACCAAAAGAAAATGTCTCGAAGCTTCCTAGTGGATTCCTTGATCGGCAACAACTCACCGCCCTCATACCCGCTGCCATATTATGGCAATCTGCCTAATTATATGTTCAATTTTTTTAATGTGGGTTTGGGCTACCAACCTATCAGACCGGTGCCCAGGCCACCCACCATGCCCGTGCCGATCAGCCCACCGACGCTGGGTGTCTTGCCGATACCTAGACAGAGTCCTCCGTCACCTTTGAATACCTCGACAAACAGACTGCCAGGTAAAAATGTGGCTAGTAATTAACCTAGAATAAATCCGTGATAATCGACTACTAATGATTCGTAAACGTATAATCACTATCGTGCGTTAGACACGCAATATGATCGTTAGCAATTAATAGAGCGACCCTAAAATCGTATTTGAGAGTATCTCGTATCTCACAAACGTCATTTATTTCCACTTAATTATATAATATTTAATATAATTATAAATATCATATAATATATAATAAATAAATGTATATAATTATTATATATTAATAAAATAGAATTAATACAAATATATTAAAATATTCATTCATTTTTTTAAGATTTCCAAGATATTATTTTGACATAAAATATGCATTTTTATGGTATCTTTCCAATCTCGCTAGACATATCACATAGAAGCAAGCATTGATCTATCGAATTTCTCCTATCGTAATAAGTATCTCTCTCTCGCAGCAGCGCCATTAACCTCTGACCTTTTTCCTCAGACGTTTCAACACCCAACGAGTCTCCGTCCCGCAACAGCACCCCGACGCCTCCGCCAAAATCCCCGAGCTCCATTAGCAACAGCTCGAAGCGTATCCGGACCGCGTTCACAAGCACTCAGCTGTTAGAGTTGGAGCGCGAGTTTGCCTCAAACATGTATCTATCGCGACTACGTCGAATCGAGATCGCGACCAATCTGCGGCTGTCGGAGAAACAGGTGAAGATCTGGTTTCAGAACCGCCGGGTGAAATATAAGAAGGAGGATCTGCCATCCGGCCAGAGCCAGAAATGCTGCTGCTTACGGACCTGCAGTAAACGGAAAGATAGCTGCGGAGAGGAATCGCCCAGCCGGAAATGCGATCAAGAAGAAGATGAAAGAAGATCCATGAAAAGTGAGAGTGACGATGGCAAATCCGGTCGCGGATTTGCCATAACCGAACGCCTCGAGCGATCGATCGCGAACGAAGACGTCGGCCCCGAGGAGAAGTTCAATTTCACGAGAATAAACTCCGTGCAGGAGGATCAGGTGGTCGGATACGAAGCGCGAGATCTCTCTCGCGGTTGCAAGAGGAACCTGGCGGATGCAAGTGAAGGGAACGACAAGAGGAGGAAGATGGAGACGATGACAGATTATCAAACTTCAAATCCGGAGGCGATTGCAACTCCAGTATTTAGAAGTATAGCATGCACGAAGCATACCGTCGAGAGAATCGTTAACTCGTGAATTCGAAAGTCTATGTACATAAGTTCTCGAAGCTGTAAAATAATGTAACGCAAAGTTCAAACGTTCATGATACCTTTGCGAGAATATAACTTGAATATAGTTAAATCAATAGATAAACGATCTAAGAGAAAAGCAATGAGATTGTATCAGAATGCGTTCAAAATTGTGAATATTGTAAATATATTTTGTAAGATTGTATTGTAGATATATTTTTGTATGATTTATGAAGAAAACCAAAATTGTATATTTTTAATATAAATTTAATCAAAATAAATAAATATCACGATTATTAAAATGCCATCAGAATCTTAATTCCTTAAAGCAACTGCGATATATTCAAGTATTTCGTTTATTAGATACATTATTTTCAGAAAATAAATTCTTTAAAATAATTCTACAATAAAATTTTAATTTTTATGTAAAAATTTCATTGCAATAAAAAAATTTCTTCTTCTAATATTAAAAAATGTACAAAACAACCAAAAATAAGAATCTTATTTTGAGTAATAAAAAAATTATGAGTTTTTACTACTAATATAAAATAATTTTAATAATCAAAGTAATTCTATTGTGAATCGCAAAATCATTTTCAATTAGCTATATTTAGTTCTTGTTATTAAAATATTAATATTGCTCTTCATTATTACAATATAATGTAAATGTTTTAAATATATAATTTTAGAAATATATTATATAAAAAAGCTTCTCCTATTATAAAATAATTAAAAAAATAGTAAACATGATAAAAACACAAAATATTATTTTCAATATATCGTAATACAAATATAAGGCATATCATATATCTTAAATGCATAAATACAATTATATTGTTAAATACACATAAATGCAACTAATAATGAAATTTTATACGATCTTGTTATACATCAAATTTATTTCATTCTAAATACATAACATGTGTCGCATGTGCTCAGAACTTATTCAAAAGATAAGTGACAGCAGATAAAAAGTTACAAACTGACAAATCATAACTGATTACCAAAATGTAGTTTCTCACATACAAAGCCTACAAATAATGTATCAAATATTCATCATAAAGAAGTGTCTCCAACACATGTCACCACCTTCAATGACGTAACGCGCGCCTATGCGTGATTTTCCAGTCAAACGATTGGTCAGAAAGAGTACAACTCAACAAGAGTGCAACGCGGTCACTCGGAGGGTTCGGTCGCTATTGTCGGCAGAAAAATCGGTCGTGTTGCCCTAAATCCCGAAAATTTGTCAAGAGGGCCTCCCACTTTAGGTTAAATTTAAGGTAAAACGTAGTTAATGGTACTAAGGAGCCGTGCGACAATACGCCGAGATCTCTCGCACTCTCAAGTCTCGAGCCTGGGCCAACAATGGCACACTTGTGTTACTATTCGCGGGGCCCGACGAAACGTGAAAACCAGCCGGCTGCCCTTTTTCTCCGTGCCCGAACGCGACAACGCCGTGCCCCATTCACGGTAGCCAAGAAGTCGCCCCGTAGTCGCGTAGATTTGGTTCATTCATCCGTTTAGAGGATCAATAACGCGGAGGAGGAAGAGGGACCGGATCGCGCACAGGCTGAATGACGACGAAAAGTCAGAATCGAAAAATCGCGCTTGCACGATCCGCCTTTCTGCCTTTCGTCCCGCACAACGGCGGCCGGTGCTTTTCAATCGGATCGCTCGGAATGAGCCTAAAGAATAAGGAATGCGGACTCGTCGACAATTTCTCGCCTCTTAAGAGCGGTAGCAAGCGCTATTCGATTATGGCAGTTTAAAGTCCGAAGCGTGAATGCGAATACAAGTGATGTATGGAGTGCCTCTTAAAATCCCGACGACTTTTCTAATCTTTTCTACCTGAGGCGGCGGTTGCTTCTGAGTTACGACGCTTTTAATCAATTGCAAGATTATATATATATAGAGAGAATATACCGACGAATAAAAAAGAATTAAAGATTCAGGAAAATAACGATTTTCATATACGCACGCGTTTAACGAATAACCGTAGAGACGCCCGACGGCGATATTTGCCGCGTTTCATCCTTCAATTGAATTCAATGTTTTGTTCATTTGCGGTGGCATCGGATTAAATGAACGTGTGATGTTCAATCGCAATTCAATTTTCCGGGCCCTCGCGTGTTCACGTTTCGGATTCAATCGGATCATCGCATCGGCAACAAAACTTAATAGATGTAGACGTTCCTTTGTATGTCAATTCAACATTCGCATGTGCCAGTTGATCCCGTCTGCTAGATTGCGATGTGCCGTGTCGCGCAATTCTACGACTGCATCAATGAGAAACCCGTTGGAATAATAATTAAGCGCGTTTCGTCCTTGCGCCGTCGAGAAACTTAATGGAATCACGAGCGGCATACGGAGAAAATAATGACGGCGTATTAAGCGTTATTCGGTTCACTTTACCGAATTCTACGAAACAATCTGCGTCGCTGTGTCGATGCACGATAACATCATCGCGATACTAAAATTATGTAACGTTACATATAAATCGCATTACGCAACTCGGTCGATCATTCCCGCGTGACAGCAATCTAAGACAGTTTCAGAGATTTGATATATTCCTATAAGCTAATGTGGAGACAAAATAATATAATGTCGTATAATATTAATCTATCTTTCTTTCCTTTTATACGATAAAAAGTCGAAATTTTATGATCTAAACTGTACAATTTCTTGCAGTAAACAAGCTATTTTTTTATTTACGTTTTTTCTTTACGTTGTTTAATTATCATGCAACGGCAGAGATAAAATATATTTTCTCAGTGCTATATAAAAAATGTTATATGGTATTACAGCAATTATTTGTATTATATTTCATGTTTACGTAATATATGTGTCGCGAATACTTTTCCACTTTATCATTCGGCTTGACAAGTTGCAAATCAAAATAGCATGGGGGAGCATATAATTTTACCAACACTTCATCATCGCGCGCGCGCTTGAATTTTATCCGGATGACCAAACCTAACAAAAGTAGGGCGATTTCTTACCCCTAGCGGCAACTCGCGACTGCGACCGTTTCTATTCAACGACTCTGACGGATCGTCGCGGTCCAGACTGTCGGAGAGGGTTTGGCTCGAGTGATTGTAATAAGTCCGAACAAACTTGCGACGCGTTCTCCAGAGAAACTGGTGGGACTGCAACGGTCTGTGCGACTCGAAAATCGCGGGGTGGAGACGACGATAAAGAACGAGGCAAGGAAAGACGGGGAGTGGAAAGGGACAGAGAGAGGGTGACAGAGTTGTCGGCGGCGGCCGATTTCTGGTTCCGGTGCGCTAATTCATTTCATCTTATGCGCACTGAAGAGGCGCTCCATCAAAGCTGGAAAAAGCCACCGCGACAGCACTCCACAGCGCGGAAGAGCGGCGGAGAGCGAGATGACAGGGTGGTGCGGGCACTCGAAAGTTGAAACCGTTTTTGCCTCTTTACACCCAACTGGAGGACAATGGCGGCAGCGACGTCGACCATTGTGGATCGCTTTCGTGGCGTGGCTCCGGGCAACTCGCGTTTGAACCGATCGATTGATACCAGCAGATGCGGCCATGAGAATTTCAATAAATAACGCGAGAACATTGTTTTTTGGAAGACAGATATCCACAGAGAAAATTCTTTTTCAATCTATCAAAAATGCACACGAAGGAATACCGAGTGAAGAAGAGAAAAGAGCAGAGAAAGTACGGTGAATTTGCTCTGCCAGCGAGAAAGGAAAAATTAATCTTTTATGATCTAGCAACAGTTTCCCCAAGATAATAGAAAACAATTTTGTGGAAACGTAGAGAGAGAGCATGAAGCTATATCTTCCCGAACTCCGTTCCAATTGAGATAACGTTTCGAAGGTAGAAAACTTAAATCGACGCGATAAATCTGTTCGGCACGATAAATTTGTTTTAACGGCGTTTCCGGGCTCTCCCCCGACATCGGTGACTTCACACAAAGCGCGAAACTCTCGAAAGGCATAAACCTTGCGAGCGACAAAGTGTTCCTCATTGTGTCATGGATACATTGTGCAACGGTATCGCAAGAATGCACCGCGCTCGCCTGGCCACTGTCGTGTGTGTATGGCCAATGACGCGAGAATAATTTCGCAGAGACGCCCGCAAACATGATGATCCGTTGTCACCCGGTGTCTCATTGTCGCGAGTTCTATGCGCGCCAGCGCGAGAAGCGCGCGCGTGAAGATCGATTTGCTGCGGCGGTTCGAGGTCGCTTAATGATTGAGGAACGTCGGAACGGCGTCCCGGGAAATAAATTTCTTACACGTTGGAAAGAGTCCAACGCGCACAGTCCAAGTCACAGAGGAATATAAAATAAAATAGTAAAAGTATAGGGAGTGACAGCACACTGACAGCAAGTTTGTCATGTACGCATCGTGATCGACGCTGTTCGGAATTTTACAGAATTTTTAGAAATTTCAAAATGCCATAGTCTAGTATTATTTTCCACGCGTAACTGTAATTATTTGTTAAAATATATTACTTTACAAACAACGAAATAATGCATTAACTTTCGAGAAAGTCACCGTGACGAAGAAATCGATTGCAGTTACTCCGCCTTTTTTCCCGAGGGTCTTATTGTCAGAAAAGTAGGAGAGAAAATTCCTCTCGTCTAAAAATTGGTAACAGCCGCTAAGGGTGTCCCGACAGTCGCGGCAATTTGAGGAAGAAACAATAAAGATAGGGTTTCACCAAGTCATTACATCATCATTACGCGTGGCAGGTGGCGTATCACCTACACGGACGCCGCGCCGGCCGTCCTGTCCACCTTCTTCCTGTGTGATCTTCGCATTAAACCGTGAAATACACACGTTAAACGCACCTGTGTCCCAAGCGTGTTCGCCTAATGCGAGCCGGCAACTTTCAGGAAATTACCTTTGGGACCAGTTTAACTTAACCGAAAACCTGCCCGAGCGTGCCGCAATGGTCGATCGATCGTTGTAAACCTGTTTCTACGCAATGAACGGAAAAACTTCTGCGCCTCAGAGGCGTATCGTAACAAGTC